GGGGGGGGGGGGGGGGGGGGGGGGGGGGGGGGGGGGGGGGGGGGGGGGGGGGGGGGGGGGGGGGGGGGGGGGGGGGGGTCGTCATTGGTGTGGAGTGCTGTGGGCAATGTCTGTGGTGACTTTTTGCGCACATAACGCGAGGGATGTTTGGTACGTTTCTCGAGGAAGGACATGGTGGATGTGTTGTTTGATGCATGCACGCGCGTGCCTGTGTTCCGGTGTTTTGTGCCGGGAGTCGTTTGGGTCTTGCCTGTGCTTGTGAAGAACGTGGTGGTAAGTATCAGCCTGTCGCACAGGTGTAAACCTCCCAAGGCGTTGCTAATCCTTTGAGAGAAAGATGAGCATCTTCATACATTTCTGCAAGGAGCAACTACTTCCCGAACAAGCGCGCAGCGTCCCTACAACAAAGTCGTTTCCGATCCTGCAACAAGTTAGTTCGGGCGAGTCACCAAACATTTAGAAAACGATCAATAATTTCGTTTCCCAAGGAAATGTGTGCAATACTACCAGTTGGGGGTGACGCGATATGAATGGGTGTCTCCGAAGTATATAGTGAGGGCCCCAAAGGAGCTTTTGATTCGCTCCTGCTGATGATATATTGCGCTACCCCGGGATTTACTCTCCGTTGACAACCGCGGTCCCCGAAAAAATGATAGGGCGTACACGCGGTCAAGTGTGTTTCCTCTTGCAGCCACTTGCTCTGGGCGAAATACAGCAACACAAATATGAGGCCAAGAAATAATAATTTGATAATTTGGCACCGGGGCAGGGTGAGGGCTAGACTTCTACTTCACCCTCTACATGGTGTGCTCTGAAAATTGAACACCCCAGACACTGGACATGACCTCCGGAGAAGACGAAGGCGGTTAGACAAGCTCGCTATGTAGTGTTGTCGCCGAAGGGAATCCCGTTGTTTCTTGAGGCCGTTAAACACTTATAGAGCGGTCGGACATTGGGGGTGCCGTGGATGAGAATCATGTCCACACCGGTGTTTGGTTTCTTAATTTATGTTTTGTTGCGAGCTGGTCTTGCTCGTGAACTGGGGAGATGTTTGGGACACTTCATCTTTGGTCAAGGAACTGAAACGATCAATGGCGACCACGGCGCTGGAGTTTGGGTGCAAGTACTGCACAAAGACTGAGGCAGCGGCCCTCCCAAAGACACCTACATAGCGTCAAATAAAAAAATCAAGCGTTGTTCCAGCTCTTCAGTATGAGCGCTGATGCTGGCATGACGACGCAAGTGTCCCACATGGCTTCCCCCCACTGCGTAGATCTCGGAGGGCCGATGTGTCGTGAACAAACACCCCCCCCCTTGCGCCGTTAAATTGCGGGCGCACGTCAGGTTCGTGAAGACCCTAGGAAGGGTATTTACATCGACGCCTACGAGGAGACGGTGGGGGACTTCGAGACGGTGCTCAAGATCCTGAGGGTCGGTGAAAAGCAGCGCCACGTCGGGTGCACGGAGATGAACAGCCGGTCCAGCCGCTCGCACACCATCTTCCGCCTCGTCGTGGAGAGCCAGCAGATGTTCGATGAGAAGGTGCACACCTCCCAAGAGGAGGTGGACCCGTCCACCCTCGTCGCTACCCTTAACCTGGTCGACCTCGCCGGGTCGGAGAGCGTGCGGCACACCGGCGCGACGGGGACTCGTCAGAAGGAGGGCGGGATGATCAACCAGAGCCTGCTGACGCTGAGCCGCGTGATCCAAACTCTGACCCAGCCGGGGCACTCGCACGTGAACTACCGCGACAGCAAGCTGACGCGCATCCTGCAGCCGAGCCTGTCCGGGAACGCCCGCATGGCCATCATCTGCTGCGCGACGGCCGCCGAGGGTTTCCTCGAGGAGACCCGCAGCACTCTGCAGTTCGCCTCCCGCGCCAAGGAGATCAAGACCCGGGCCATCGTCAACGAGATCGTGGACGACAAGACCCAGATCCGCCGCATGGCGCAGGAGCTGGCCGCGCTGAAGCGGAAGCACGCCGAGCAGCAAGGCGGCGCCGCCGCCGGCGGCGAGCTGGTGGAAGCGCTCCAGCAGGAGAAGGCAGAACAAGCCGAAAAGATCGACCGCCTCAAGCGGCTGCTTCTTAACATCGCCCCGGCCGTGGCGGACGAGGACGGCGAGCCGCTCCACCTGCACCTAGACGTCTCCCCGAGGTTCCGCCGCGGGAAGCGCTCGCGCGAGACGTGGTGTCCCGGAGACACCGCTAGCACCGTCACCGCCTCCCGCCCCCTGCGCCTGCGGAGCCCAAACCTGGGTGACTTGGACGGGGAGGAGGAGCACCGGCCGAAGCGTAGGTCCAGCGAGGCGGCGGGGGGGACTGCTACCGGGAATATGACGTCGGGGGAGGGGCGCAGCCAGCCTGCTGCTGCTGCTGCTGCTGCTGCTGCTGCTGCTGCTGCTGTCGCGGTTGCGCCTTCGGGTGATATGGAAGCGATGGCGACCAAGCTGGAAGAGGCCCTGGCGGCGAAGAAGGAGACCGACGAGGAGATGAAGGAATTCGTGGCGTACACGGTATGCATAAGTTTGGCGTTTTAGGTGGCGGCGGTCGTGTTCTTATGTTGTCTGGCTGGTGTGACCCGGGTACAGCAATCTATAGTTGCTGCCTCGAGTGTTTAGGCAGCGGCGGCCGGGATCTGGTGTTGACGATTGTTTGTTTTCGGTGTGACCTGGGTCTAGTCTATGGTCGCTGTCTGGAGCGTTTGGGACCGTCTGGTTCTTGGTACGACACAGGCTCAATTCTTTGCTGCATGACATGTGGCCAGTCCGATCTGCTGTGTACTACTTTCCCGCTATCACTTGGTTGAGAGAATTCTGCTAAAATCGGATCTCAGTTTGGTATTCCCGTAATATTCTCACCTGCAGCCACGTTTTGTTGAGGGCACATGTTTTTTTCAACGAACTTGATGAGCTGTGGTTGTGGTTGTCTCATCGACTGAGGCTTCCGACTGCTGGCGCCCGTCGTTGTGCCGTGCACACAGGAGGACGTCGAACGCGCGCTGGCTTCCACGAAAGCCCTTCTCGCCCAGGAGGTCGAAGCTACGGAGAAGGCTGCCGGCGACGTCGCGGCCGCCACGGCCGCAGCCGAAGCCGCCGCTGCTCGTGAGCAGGAGTCGACCGCCGCGCTGGAGGAGCGCATCGCCGCCCTGGAGGCCGACAAGGCCGAACTCGAGCAGCAGGAGGCAGTGCTGCGCGCGGAGAACGAGGAGGCGGTCGCTATTATGGCCGAGAACCAGCCCCGCCAGCCCGTGGTAGCGGACGCCGACGTTCAGACCGAAGCTCCCGATTCCGAAGACGGGGCCGCCGAAGGTGCTCCCGCCTCTGGCCGGAGCGTGGCGGATGTCGAGGTCGCTGAGCGCAAGGTTGCTCTAGCCGGCCTGCAGAAGCGCGTGGACGAGCTGGAAGCGAGTCTTGCGGAGGCAAGAAGAGAGCAGCGGGAGCAGGACGTCTTTAACCGGGAGGACAAGCAGAAGGCGGACAAGACGCTGATCGAGGCCCTGGCGGCGCAGCGGCGGGCGGAGAACGCGTTCAGCGCCGCCTGCCAGTCGGAGCTTGAAATGCGGTGCCGGCTCGAGAACGCCGTGCAACAGGTGCAGGAGGCGGAAGAGGCCCGCGACGCGATGTCCGCCAAGGCCGAGGGAGAGTCTGCCTCAGTCGGCAAGGAGCGGGAGAAGGTCCGAGTCCTGGAAGACCGTGTGGCTGAGACCGAGACTCGCCTGAGGCAAGCCAAGACCGCGGCCGAGGAAAAAGCGCAGCGCGAGGTCCTCGCCTCCAAGGAAAAGGATGAGACCATCGGGAAACTTAGCGCCCTCGTTGACAGCCTGAGGGCAGACGTAGACAGGAAGGCGGTCGAAGACAGGGCCAAGGAAGACGGCGACGCGGCGCGCGTCCAGCAGCAGCAGGAGCAGCTGCTGTCGGACAAGAACAAGGCGGAGGAAGAAGCTGCGGCGGCACGCGCCGAGAACGAGGCCCTGTGCGCCAAGATCGACGAGTTGTCCGGTCAGGTGTCGTCCGGTGCTGCTGAAGCGGAGGCCCGCGAGGAGCTGGCGGCGGCGAAAGAAGCTGCGGCGGCGGCGGAGTCCAAAGCAAGCGAGGACATGGCACGCGTTGTAGAGGAGGCCGTGGCCTCGGCCGAACAGCTGGAACTTCTTCGGTCTGAGCTGGAAACAAAGACCGAGGCGGCCGCGGAATTCGCCCAGACGATCGAGTCTCTCGAGTCTCAGCTTAGGGCCGTCCAAGACTCGGCATCGGAGCGGGAGGCAGCGGACGCTGCTCGCATCGCTGACGCAGAGAGCCAGGCGGAGGAAGCCGCCGGCCGTCTGCTGGCGGCGAACGAAGCCGCCGCTGCAGAAAAGGAAGGCACCGCGGAGTCGGCCAAGTTGCTAGCCGAGGTGGAGAGCGAGCTCAAGGCGGCGAACGAGCTGTTGGCGACGGTGCAGGATGCCATGGCTGAGAAGGAGGCTGCTGCCGCCGCCCGTATCGCCGAGTTGGAGGCCGAGCTGGCCTCGACTGCCGGGTCCCTGGCCTCCACCCAGGCCGCCGCCGGGGAGAGGGAGACCGCGGCGTCCGAGCGTATCGCTGAAGTGGAGAGCGAGCTGTCCGCTGCCAACGAGCTGCTGGCCTCCGCGCCGTCCGCTGCCCGAGTGGAGCAGCTGGAGAACGAGCTCAAGGAGGCCACGGAGTCCTTCGGGGTTCAGTTGGCGGCCGCCCGGGAAGGGGAAGCGGAGGCCGTGTCGAAGCAGGTGGCGCTGGGTGTCGAGCGTGTCGCCCAGGTCGAGGCCCAGCTTAAGGCCGCGACGGACAGGCTCGGAGAAGTGTTGTCGACCGCCGAGGAAGCGGAGGCTCTGCGCGAGACGGTGGCGGCTGAGCGTGAGGAGACGACTGCCGCGGCCGCTAAGCACGACGACGAGATGGATGAGGCCCGGAGAGAGCTCGACAGGGTCAAGGCTCTGCTTGAGGCGAAGGCTGATGAAGTCGAGCAGCAGAAGGCCTCGGACGAGCTCCACCAGGCGCGGGAGGCGGCCGCTGCCGCGGAAGCGGTGGTTGCCGAGAGGGAGGCCACGATCGCCTCTATGAAGGAAACCCTGCGGGCAGGGGAGGGAGAGCTGGCGCAAGCCCTCGAGGAGTCGGAGAACCTGTCCAAGGAGGTTCTCGAACTCACCGAACAGCTCATGGCCAAGGGCGCCAGCCTTGCCGAGCTGCACGAACAGGTTCGTTTCGGGGTTTCACAGGCGAAAGTTATGTTTCAAGTACCTTTAGTTGCCCTTGAACGAACACCCCTGGAGAATAATAGGCCTCGGTGTTTGACAGATGGTTAATTGTCCCGAGGATCAGCGTCACTTTGACGCGTTTTTCCCGATTATTTGTGAGAGTCACGTGATGGTTTGTGGTGCGTTGGTGGTTAGGAGCGCTGTGTTACTCTTGCCTGTTTCACTGGCGACGCCAACCAATTAAATGTTTCGATTCTTCGTCCCCTTGCTCCCTCGATGCACAGCTGGAGGCTCGCGAATCTGAACTGGCTGCGTTGCGGGCATCGCCCCCGGCCACCTCGAACGCCGCTGGCGATGGGTTCGACGGGGAAGCGACCGAGGCCAGCGCGGAGCTCCGCCGGCTGCGGGTGGACCTGGACAAAAAGGGCAGCGAGCTCGACACGACGATGAAGGAGTGCGAGACCGTGCGCGCGGAGCTCAAGGAGGTGAAGGGGATGCTCGGCGCCGCGGCAAGCGCCGCCGGCGCCGCCGGCGCCGACGAGGAATCCCTCCGCAAGCGCGTGTCCCAGCTCATGTGTGAGAACGGGCTCCTGAGGGGGGAGAAGGACCGTCAGGAAGTCCTTGCCGCCGAGGCGAAGAACGAGGCCAAGTCCAACACGTCTCGCTCCGTGGCGGAGGTGGAGAGATTGGAGCGGGAGGTGGACCGGTTGTCTGGGGTCGTCGCCAGCAAGGCCGATGGAGTCGCGGCGGAGGGGGACCGAGCGAAGGCAGCGCTTTCGGCGATGGAGGCCAAGCTCTCGGAGCTTCGCCAGGAGCGCGCGGAGCTTCAGGTGGGGGAGAGTTCGCGTATATGGTGTTGGTGCTGCAGTCGGCCTACGGAGGGTGGCATTGTTTTTACGAAACCGTTTGGTAGGTAGGTAAGGGGACCGGCCGCGTCGTTCGGGGGGTGCGAGAAGTTCTCAGGTGTAGGGATGGCTAGCCCCTGGGATGCTGTTTCGTGTATGCCGTTTCATTTCAAACTCTGTAGATGTGCCTCCGATCCGATTTTGCCGCCCGTCTTGGATCTCGGAGGGGGCACCACACGACGCGTGACACATTTAAACCCACAGTGTTACTTATTTTCTAATTTTTTCCGCAAATTTAGCATAACGTAGACCGTCTGTCGCTGCATTTTCCGATCGTCTGTCTCTCCTGCTTTCACCCGAGCACGATTACGACCGCACAACAGACCAGACCTGTTGACCGTGAACGTGGTCCGACGCATTTTCCCATTTTCGTGTCAACCTTTTTGTGCGATCGCCGCCGACAGGAGGCGACGCAGAGGTCGCTAGACCGTTGCTCGGAGGCCGAGGGCGAGGTCGAGACCCTGAGGAACCGTTTGGCCGAGGTGGAAGGTCGTGACGCTAGCCGTCACCTGGTGGTGGCTCTCGAAACCAAGGTGGACGACCTGGAGCAGGTGACTACCGCTGCCGTCGCGATGTTTTTGTTCTCCCTAAGAGGCGGCTCGTTTCGTAGTCGCAAGCAGTTGAATGTATGCACTGCGCGCGTTATTTCAAGAAGAACTGGTAAGGCTGACAGAGGTGTCCGTTTTTATTGCGTTGTTCACAGTTGATCTGATGTCGATGTTTGATTTGGTTCTCTAGCCGGCTTTCGCGAGATAGGGCCTGATCTTCATAATGTAGACAACCTCCTTTGCGTACGTTGCTCCAGGATTTCCAACTTTCGCACGTTGTAGTCGCTCGGTTTGAGCGATGCTATTGTTTTGGAACGCCTTCGTTACAGGGCGTGAAATTTCTCCCCCGCTGGCGCTACTGCTGTCCGGGTACAACTTGAAATTTAGGTTGTCGTGTACTTCAACCTTGTTTGGTGTGGACGCCTCGCATCGTCCCTTTCCCTACCCCTAATTTAGGTTGTGTTTTACTGCACCCTTGTTGCGTGGACGTCTCGCAACTTCCCGTTCTTGTACTGCCGTCCCCAGGAAGTGCGCCGTACCGCCGCCTCTAAGGCTGAGGTAGAGGGGGACGCCCGCGAGCATGCCAACAGGGTTAAGCGTCTGCAGGGAGAGGTGGAGATGATACGGTCGGAATACGAGGTTGTTTCGGAGGAGGTGGCCGACCTTCGCGTCGCAGAGGTGCGTCGTCGGCACTAAGAGAGTATTTGCACTTGCGTGATGATGGACCGCTTTTGTTTTCGAGCTGGGAGGGAGTTCTCAAGAGGCTCTGAATTGCGTTTTGTGAAATTTGCTTTTGAGCGGGGAGAGAGTTCTCAGACGGATATGGACTGCGTTTTCGAGGAGTTTGCTTTCGAGCTGGAAGGGAGTTCTTGATTAGCTGCGGAATGAATTTTTTGCCTCTCCAACTTGTGATACGGTGCAGAGTGGAGTCCCGATTAGGAGAAGCCGGCAACGCTTGATAGGGAAGGGAATCAGGCAAACAAATGGTTCTCTACGTAGAGTGGAACTGGCCTTGTTTGCGTTTGTCATCTACCGGAGTATCCAAAGCCTCTGGCGTTTTGGCAGGTCGACAGTTTCAGTTTCGCGTGTGCTGCGCACAGCGGTGAGTTTGTTGCTCGAACATTTTTCTTTGTTCCAGTCCTTTTGTTAGTTTATTGGTCGTCCCGTCTATTTCTTCGGCAATCACCCCCGTCTTCGTGACAGGCGAAGCTTAAGGAAGCCCTGGAACTCCAGCAGGCGACGACGGCAGACGGTTCCGAGGACCGTTGCAACGAGCTGGAGGCCGAGGTCGCCCGCCTGCGTGAGGAGCTGTCCGAGCTGAAGAATGCCCACCTCGAAGCCCTCAGCGCGGAGGAAGAGAAGCGCTGTGCGATACAGGCGACGCACGGCGAGTTGGTCGCTGCCCTCGAGAAGACGGTGTCCGAGCTTCAGGAGGCGAACTATTCCTCCGCCACCGCTCTGGAGAAGAAGGTCTCCGAGTTGAAAGCGGAGCGCGATGAAGCCGAGAAAACCGTGTCCGATCTGCGGGCGAAGCACGACGAGACCGTCGCCACTCTGCAAAGGGAGGTTTCGGAGCTGCATGTGGCTAAGGATTCCGCCGCCACTCTCGAGAAGACCGTATCCGACCTGCGGGCGGAGCACGGCGAAACCCTGACCGCGCTTGAAGAGAAGGTTTCGGAACTGCAGCAGGCGGAATCCACTGCCGCCGCCGCGCTGGAGAAGACAGTGTCCAAGCTTCGAGCGGAGCACGTCAAAACCGTGACCGCGCTCGAAGAGAAGGTTTCGGAGCTGCAGGCGGCAAGCGAGGCGTCGGCAGCCACTGTCGGTCGAACCACCGCCGAGCTGCGAGCCGAGCGCGACAAAACCGTCTCCGCCCTCGAGAAGGCCGTGTCCGAGCTGCAGGAGGCGAAAGATTCTACCGCTGCCGCTCTCGAGGAAGCAGTCTCGGAAATGCAAGCAGAGCACGGCGAAACCGTCACCGCGCTCGAGGAAAAAATTTCGGAGCTGCAGGCGGCGAGCGAGGCGTCCGCGGCCGCTCTCGACCAAACGACCGCCGAGCTACGAGCCGAGCATGACGAAACCGTGGCCGCCCTCAAGCAAACCGTGTCGGAGTTGCTGGAGGCGGAATCCACCGCCGCCGTCACGCTAGAGAAGACAATGTCCGACCTGCGGGCAGAGCATGGCGAAACCGTCACCGCGCTCGAAGAGAAGGTTTCGGAACTGCAGGCGGCGAAAGACTCCTCCGTGATCGCTCTCGACCAAACCACCGCCGAGCTGCGAGCCGAGCACGATGAAACCGTCGCCGCCCTCGAGAAAGCAGTCTTGGAAATGCAAGCGGAGCACGGCGAAACAGTCACCGCGCTCGAAGAGAAAATTTCGGAGCTGCAGGCGGCGAGAGACTCCTCCGTGATCGCGCTCGGCCAAACCACCGCCGAACTGCGAGCCGAACACGACGAAACCGTCGCCGCCCTCGAGAAGACCGTGTACGAGCTACAGCAAGCGAAATCCACCGCCGCCACCGCGCTGGAGAAGAAAATGTCTGAGCTGCGAGCAGAGCACGGCGAAACCGTCACCGCACTCGAAGAGAAGGTTTCGGAGCTGCAGGCGGTGAGCGAGGCGTCTGCAGCCGCTCTCAGCCAAACGACCGCCGAGCTGCGAGCTGAGCACGACGAAACCGTCGCCGCCCTCGAGAAGACCGTGTCGGAGCTGCAAGAGGCAAAAGATTCCGCCGCAGCCACTTTCGAGAAGACAATATCAGAACTGCAGGCGGAACATGACCAAGCCGTCGCCGCGCTCGAGGAGAAGGTTTCGGAGTCTCTGGAGCTGGCCGAGCAGGTCGGGGCCGACCAAGACGTTACCCTCGCGGCGCTCCGGGCCCAGATGGCTGCCTCCCACGCCGAAGAGATCGCGGAGCTGAGGGCGCAGCTGTCGGAAGCCGAGCGGGGCGTCGAGGCGATGGAGGCTGCCTCCAAAGAGCTGTCGAAGGAGTGCGAGGCGCGCTCGGCAGAGGTCGAGAGTGTCAGGAAGAGCGCGGCGGAGGTCGCCGAGGAGCTCGACGTTGCGCGTGGGCGCAAGGAGGACCTGGAGCGAGAGCTCGCGGACAATGTTGCGGCGGTGAGGCTGCTGTTGTTTTTGTCTTTGGCTCTTTGTGGAGCTTGATTAGTTTCCAAAGCGGACAGGCGAGGTGCTAGCTGGGTCGGCTGCCTGTCGTTTGCAGAGGGTTTGTACGTCGTAATGGAGCACAGCAGTAGCAGCGACATGCTTGTGCTTGTGCATTCGCTTAGAACTACATGGAACACAACGGCTTACCTCTACTGAAAATATGGAAGTTGATTCGCACCCCTACTCATTCCGTTTGTATGCCCACATACCTGCGGAGAACCCTGTTACCTTACAGCTGTCGAAGTTTTGGCGTGTCTATGACCTCCACTCGCTTCGTACCATTCGAGCCATATCTTTCCGTCGAGACCATCATCGTAACTTACCCCGTCGTCGTCGTCGTCGTCGTCGTCGTGCATAACGCCATCAGGGCAAGGCTACCGAACAGCAGCTCCGCCACCGCCTCACCTCCCAGGTGGCCGAGGCGGAAAACCTTCGCCAGGAGCTGATGGACACCCGCGAGAGGTCCGACCGCGCGGAAGCCGCAGTGCGTGCGTCCGACCAGCGCGCTAGGGAGAGCGCCGACGAGAAGACTAAGGGGTTGCTGGCCGAGATGGAAAACCTCTGCCAGGTAGGTGGGGGGGGGCTACCGGCGGCGGCGGGAGATGGGGATGCAGTCATGTAAACGCATGCCGTAGTCGCTAGACCGTAGACCTCGCACGCCGGGACGGAGCGATGTGCTGGGTTTTCGCAGGCCCTGGGTACGTTTCACAAGGCTGGACCAGAAAGCTGGTCACCATCTTTACGTTTGCCTAGGGCTGGGGTGTTTTATGGTAGTGCCTGTTCTCTCTCGGTTAGTTTTTGTCGTTGTTTTGGCTGGAGACGCTGATCGGGAAACTGTAGGTGGTAGTGACTTGCGAGGGAAGAAGCTCATGTGTGTCGTTTTTGTGGCGCATATGCATGACAAGCCGCCTAGGGTCTCCACGCTCTGTACGTGGGACATTCCATGTATGCGGGCAGTGCTGCGCATACGACGCCCTTTTGCCTTAAAGGTCCAGTTTGTGGTGGCCAAGGGTGTTACTTGTCTTGACTCATTCCCAAGGTTTTATTCTTGTCTCCTTTGTACAGTAGTTGTCGTCGACCGCATCGCCGTTTCCGTTACGCTCGAAGGCGTGGAACAGGCCCCTGATCTCCGAAGAAAGGCAGTGTTAAACCGGTACCCTTCGCACGTCCTCTGGCGGGCATCAGCGCTTGTGCTCACCTCGTCGGCTTGTTCCCCTGTCTCAGGAGAAGCTGATCGCCGAGAATAAAGCTGGAGAGATGGAGGCTGAGCTCAGCCGACTGCGAGAAGCGGTGGCCACAGCTGAGCAGACAGCGGCTAAGGACCAGGGCATGCTCATTCGTGCGGCGGAGGAACGCATGGCCGTCCTCGACCAGGTGGGGCGGCCGCCTTGCTTTGATGTGATAGTGGTGCAACCAATCTCTCCGATAGTGCCCGTTGTATTCGGCTCTCGACACTACTGCTGTTGTTGGGGCACCCATGCTGTACTAAATAACAAACAAGGCTCCAGTTTTTTCAGCGATATTGCTGCTTGCTTGTTGATAGAATCGGTACAAGCCAATGCACGTCTATTGTAGTCGGACCCGCGGCTGGTTGCAGACACTGCTTACTGTCAACACCTTTTTACGTGCTCGATTTGAGACATGTAAACAGGGAGAGTGTTGTTCCAAGTCGATATTCTTGTATGCATATTTTCGAAGTCTATAAACGGGACCTCGGGTTCTGAAAAGAGTGAAGGACAGCTTGCGGTGCTGTGACAGCTGGTGGAAACAAAGGACACCACGGTGAACTTGACCGTCGGAGCGAGATACTGGCAAGCATCGTGGTCGAAACGACTTCTTTGCTCCTGATTAAGTTTAAGCCGCTTCTTGTGTCCCGCGGGATCGCTAGGCCGTCCGATTGATGACATCATAGTACCCTAGCAACCCGTTGGTGTACGCCCCGTTGTTTGTACCTGAGCATACCGTCGTTGGTGGCGTTCCCCCACCCCTTCCTACGTGGTGTCCTTATCCCGTGGTTGTGCACCCCTTGGTGGTACTGCTCTGCTGTATCCACAGGCCGCCCAGGATAAGGACATCGCTATCGCCAAGCTCCAGGCGTCCCTGGATGCTGCTCGCGCCTCGGCGGCAGCGGAGTCGGCTTCGAGCTCGGCGGCCGATGCAGAGGAGGCGACGGCCGCCCTCAACGACAAGGTGGCCGCCCTCACGGCCGCCACGGACGAGCAAAAGGAGACTATCGCGAGGCAGGACGCCCGCATCAAGAAGCTCGAGCAGGTGCGGCTGACGAACGGTCAGGTGGAGAAGCTCCAGGCGATGAAGGCCTCGGCCAGGAGGACCGCCGCGGAGAACACGGAGCTCAAGCAGCGGCTCTCGGTCCTCAAGGAGCGCCTGGAGGCCACCGTCGAAGGCGGCGGCAGATGCGGCGATGCGTCGTCGGGGGACGGGGAAGCCGCTACCGTCACCGCCGCCCTCGCGGCCGCCGCCGACCGCAACGCGGAGCTGCAGGTCGCCAAGGACACCCTTGTTGAGAAGCTCAAGGGGTACGGCAAGCGAGTCTACGAGCTTGAGAAGCAGCACACGCGGGTGCGCGCGGCGGTGGCGGAGCTCGGGGGCTCCGTGCCTGAAGGGGGGGACCTGGGGGACGCCGTCCTGGAGTGCGCCGGGCGATTCGCGGGGCGAGGCGGTGACATGTCGATGATGAGCACGGGGTCCCACGATGAGGCGGCGGCGGCGGCGGCGGTGGAGGAGCTCCAGCGCGAGCTGCGGGAGGTCCGCGAGGCGCTGCGGGTCGAGGAGGCCGGCCGGGCGCGCCTGAAGGAGCAGATGCTGGCCGGGGTGGCCAAGTTCAGGGCGCTCGAGGCTCAGGAGAAGTCGACACGGGAGCGGCTGGAGGAGGCGGCGGCGGGGCAGAGGGGCGCCGTGAGCGCCGCGCTCAAGATCAAGGAGAAGGACCACGAGCGCGAGCTCAAGTTCCTTAAGGTTGGTTGATGTTATGTACTGTTTTAGTGTGTCGTGCTGCGTCGTGAGGGAATGGGTGTAACTATTTTGTGTGCGTTGTGTCGTGCGTCGTATGGGGGGATGAATATTGGCCTATTTTTTGGCCGTTTGCGGTCCGCAGTCAATTTTCGTCACGTGTACATGTACATAGATAGAGCGCCCTGGGGGGCTTGAAGGACGGGTTGCAAAAGTCTATTCATGGGACATACTGAGCCGAAAATCAAGCCAATAGGCCTTTCAACACCCAGGATGTTACTTTTCTAGGGAAGGTTCTGGTGACAGTTGTTCAGCCTGTGTGATCAACCGTTGGTTGGGCAGGCGTGACGAGTCGGGGGATGTATTCGCATGCATGGCGATCAGCAACTCAAGTGTTTAGCGCAGGCGGTGTTGCGTGCGTGTCTTCAGTGCGTTTCGTCATCGCCACAGTCACCCAAGACATGATCAACACCAGCGCTAACTAATCAGATACCCGTTGTAGGCAGTCGACATCATTGAACGAACGTTAACGCCTCCGTTTGCCACTTTTCGTCGGCAGGAGGAGAACGTGCAGCTGTTCAAGGAGATCGGCGAATGGAAGGTCAAGACCGACAAGCTTACTGCCGAGCTCGAGACCCTCCAGGAGAAGCTCGCCGCCGCCCAGACAGCGCAGCAAGCATCCCCCTCCATGGTATGTATTTAAATAACATGTTTGTTCTCTCTTTTCTTGTTCACATTTTGCTTTCTTTCATTATCGTTGTTTACATTTCTTGCAGTTAGCGTTTCGACTCGTCCTCCCAAAAAAATCAAAAAGTAATAACTTGAATAGCACACCCTACTTCATTCGGGACGACATCACTTGTGATACACTTAGTATTTTTTTTTCTGTGCCGCACGACCTCTAGCGGGGTACATGTGGTGAATGCACTAGTGATGAACGTACAACAATGCGCTTGGTTTTGCCGCGGCTTGCGGCAGGGGTTCGTTTGCATCCGGCGCAGCAACGGTCCCTTTGTGATTTGGGGTGATGTGCGTTGCTGTGTGTAGTTCATGAGCGTCCGCGGACAGGCAGATGTAGATTTTTCGATTGGGTGCACTATTGGGCGGCTACCGTAGGGGGGAGGTCGTCTGGCTATATTTGTTGCTTGCCGGGAAGCGTGCTTGAGTCCCGACAACCCGCGGCTTGGAGCAGCAGTAACCCCGCCATTGATCCTTTGTGGCTAACGATAACCGATGGTTTCCCGCCTGGAACAACCTGTTTGTGTCCTCGGAATCTCCCTGACGTGATTGGCTATCGCTCCCCCCCCCGCCCCCCCCCCTCGTTGTTAGTACGTTTCTCGCATCCCCTAGTATCTCACGGTCCCTACTGCCACCTCTTGTCTGCAGTTGTCGTATACGCACATCGCATCCCACCTCGCATCCCCCAGCATCCAGCATCTGCTGCCATCTTCTCTCTAGTACCGTACGATGGCAAACGCCCCCCCCTCCCGCCCCCAATGCCCGACTTAAATGTGTAATTTTATTTTTGCGAACCTTCAGAGCAAGAAGCGGGCCCTCGGCGACCGGACCAACAACACTCCCGCCAAGGCAACGGCAACGGCGGCGGTTACCGGTAAGCTGGGGTCCGCCGCCAGCACCACCGCGGGGGGCGTGCAGCCGGCCGCCGCCGCCGAGCGCCGCGCGGCATCCCGCGCCTTGCTCGACGGGGAAGGGCCAATCAACGACGAGGGGGCGGGGGAGTGCAACCAGTCCTGAGTCCGTTGCTCCGCCAGGTGGAGGGGGGCGTTGAGATTTAATTTGTTGCGTCTGATACCGACACGGAGCAAGCACACAGTACCCGGCAGAAGCACCGACCGGCCTCTGATAGGTTGTTGGGCGTAAACATTGTATTTGTTGCTGCTGTGTCTACACGACACACGGCGGAAGCACCGGTTTCTGCTGTTACAGGGTGGCAGCGTTCTTCTTGTTGCACAGGCAGGGTGCGGGGGAGGGGGGTAAAACGCTCAAAAAGAATGCACGCCCCTACTAGTGCTAGGCTGACGTTCTCGTACCACACGGCAGTCAGGACGGTTCGCGCTGGGTCTTACGGGGTGCGGAGTTTTCACATAAACTCTTTCCGAGATATTGAAACGAGTCAGCTTGACCTAATCGTACCTAAAGAGAGGTAAACCGGCGGGTATGTGGCAGTACGTCGACAATCGCCCCCATGGAACACCCGTGGTGGGGATTGAAAAGGGCAAGGTTTGGAGGAAGAATTGGAAAGGATCAGGGGTTGTTCATCAAGACTAATTTATGACATTTACGGGCTTGTTGTAGGACCCCCCATTTGCTTGGTGTCTTCTTCGGCAAATCTCAACCCGTTGTACGATAGGTAACATGTTCTGCAGTCGTTGTTTTATGCTTGTTATTTCTCTTGTGTTTTTTTATTGCGTCGTAAGACCTGGATACGGCTATGGTGCACGTCCAGTAGGGCCAATGGAGATGTTCAGGTTTCTTTTGCGAGGGTCAGGTGCGTAGCTAGTCCATGGGTGTTTCTTGTCTTTGTCGTGCACTAACGATCTACACGGCAGTCAGCAATTTCATGATCACACGCAATCGTTATCGTGGGCAGTGTTGAACGGGGGTTAATTAATACATACCATGCTCTAGACTAACCGGGGGGTATGAGTGATGCGGCAGACAGTTGATGGTGGCGTAGGTTCGTGTACAAGTATTAAAGATGGGGGGTTGGTTGCAAGGTGTTAAATGGGTTGGGTCACCTTGGAGGAGGCTCCGGCGAATGGCACAATAGCCCACGGTTGGCTGCATTCCCTTACAAATCATTTTCAGAATATTGAAATGAGATGATCACGTTTACCGTAACAACTTCCAAGATATCCCTCCGAGCGCCGTCTCATGGAAAGGCGGGTACTCTCATCAGTACTAAAACAAAATCTGATATTTTAAGTACGCTTTCCCTTTCAACTTTTCTAGCTATGCCATTGCAAGGAAGGATGACGTTGGACGAGCCTTGTTCATGTTATTAGATTGTGAACTGTCCGCTTTGGATTCGAATACTTTTGTTCCCATGAGGTGCAGGTAGATATCGCACGCAGCCTGCTGGACAACAAGTATGAAAACATAGGGGTCTGAGAAACACTCTCTCATCTCGAAAGAAAAAGAAAGGAGTTCGTTGTTCATTTTCAATACCCGGGTCTTCTAATATGTCCTCCATATAGTATCGCTCACCATGCACCGTTCCACTCAGCTCTGCAGACATGCGAGAGCAGCAGCAATGGGTAGTGACAGCCTCATGGGACGTGCATTGTGGTGTTATGGTGTTATTGTGGATGTTACCTTCCAACGGTCCAACAAAGCAGCACAAAACTGGTTGGCCAACTCCGGATGGTGCCATTTCGATGTTGATCTGAAAACGAAGCAGGAGGAACCAAGAAGCACCTAGAAGAAAAATCTCCGCGATAAAACTATTGCCATGGGAGGAATACGTACATCAGCAGCGTGGGAGGCACATCGTTTTTTTTTTATATTTTTTTGTATTTTGTGTCCACCGTTCGTTTGGGTCAACCCCTCCCCGGGTGGTGAATTTTATGTTTTATGCCCCAACCAAGATCCCACCCACCACAGCAGAAGCAGCCACGCTCACCCTCTTTTGGGTTTTTCCATGCGCGGTACGTAAGGATACGACCCCCGATTCGACCGACCCCGCGCACGAAATTAGGGCATGGACTCCCGTTCTTGGGCTAAATGCTGCTGCTGCTGTTACCGTTGAAATATTGCTCTTTTGGGGGTGATGGTCCCGTTGTGCCGATTCTCTTCCCTCTCAAGACGAATCTGGTACTACTACAAGTACCCGCAATCGATCTCAAAGTAATTACTTTCACCTAATCTGTACCCAAAGTACAACGTGTAGACCCACGGGGGGGGTAGTTAATGAAAACTTCCTCCTTTGAAGAGTGAATATTATAGATGTACAGACGAAACAGCCACACGCAAGAGACCAGAGTGTCATACAACAATTAAATCTGTCAGCGGCCAAGGCCTTTTTACGTACGTACGTTTCGCAATCGTCCGTTGAACTCTACACCAAAAGTGAACGTGCTCCCACCGTATGTATGTCACGTTCAACAAGCTTCCGTCCAGATAGGGGGCAGCCACCCCTCTTCTTAGAGAACGGTGAAAAATGAAAACAAGACGTGCCTTGCTGCTCTCTACCCTCCCCAAAAAACGGCAGAAGAAAGAGAGAGCGACGAAAAGAAAGAAACCTCTGCGCCATCAACCGCGGAGCACACCGAATCACAGCAGCATGATCATCACACATAATTTTATTAGTCTACACACCCAACTAACAGATCCTTGACTTACATACTCCGCTCAGAGATCTTTAGCCGACAGGCTTGATCAATCAAGCGGTCGCCGCCGCGGGCCTCTACCACTTAGAACCCGACAAGGTGCCCTTGAAAAGTTACGGTCAAGTCACTCGAGGGGCTGGCATGCGCAAGCAAGCAGGGAACAGGCAACAAACACACGACCTCACGAGAAGCTACAAAAACATCAAGGGGGCTACGAAAAAACTAATTCTCCATATGCATGGTCGTTGTGTACACTGTCTACGCGTCGCCGCTTCAGAACCACTTGTTTCGCCCAAGCAACAAGTCACAATATATATATTTTTCTTACCAATGACGCAACTGGTCAACTCCTCTACAGGCAAAAAAAGTCTGGGATAGATTAGCAACGACTCCATCGCATCTCTAACTCCCTCTACAAGGTACACCGGCTGTAATCGTGATCCCACGTCCTTCCATGTCCCTCTGTATTTTTTTATAGCCTGGAACTCTGAACCAGCTCCCAGGGTCGCTGGCGCGTGCTGCAACACCCCTGTTGGCCAGCCAATAACGACCTCAACAATATACCTTCCGCTTCTCACAAACTCGCGCTTGGAATACACGATGGGGGACCGCAACTACCCTGCATGGAGGTGTAGACCCACCTACGGGGAGACAGGGGGATGAGGGGGGGGGCGAAGATTACTACGTCACAGGACGCGGGGGTATGGGTGGGGGAACTTTGCGGCCATTGACTGGCGAACATTGTCTCGACCCATTGATTTTTCCGCTGCTAGCTGGCGGGGGCGTCGCTGTGCTCGTGTTTGTGGGGCTCGTGCTTGGAGCACCGTTCCCAGAACCGTTCCACGAACGGGGACCAGCCCCGGCCCCCTCGCCGTTCACCATCATCATCCGTTCCAGTTGTTCGACCTTCGCGCGGAGGTCGGCGTTCTCGCGCTTGAGGGACAGGATCTCTCTGGAACGGGCGTCCATGTGAACGACCATCTTGTTCTTTACCTGCAAGAAGAGTAGTTACCAGAGATCGAAGGGGGGACGTGGAGGACGGGGGGGGGTGTACTCATAGTTGTGCATGCCGTAGTCATTGGACCGTTGACCTCGCATCCCTACAAAGCCGGGACGGAGCAGGGGCGGGGGGCGGGGGGGGGGTTACTGGAGGTTTGTTTCGCCCCTCGATCGATCGCTGGGGTGTGCAGGGATCGCCGGTGGGACGCGGGGATGCCCACTATTTGTACTTCTCTGCTCGACCGCACTGTACGTTGTGTCCACGCTCGAGCACTCTGGTTGAGACGCTCTTCCTCCTCCTCCTCCTCCTCCTCCTCCTGCCACTGTTGGCAACGTGTGAACAAACGAGCTAGGAAGAGGGTCGTGGAGAGTATCTACGGGTCGCGGATAGTCGCCCTTCTTCATAATTAAGAACCAAGCCGATTCCATGAACGTTAAGGTTCGGTGCGAACAATCGGCGCGAGCGAAAAGTCTTGGACACGACGCCGCAACAAGCTTTGGACGTCCCTCGCGGGAAGGATCTACTCGCTGCCTTTCGTGACAAGGACGGCCTCAGTCTCCGGGCGTGGTAGAAAAGGGCGAGACAGATAGTTATGTACTTCGTATATACTTTGTAGGTCTTTCGATTTAGACGAAAGAACAAGAAGAAGGCGATAAGCGGACAAGCAAAGAAGAACAAAAACAAAACCCACCGGTCGGCCCGCTCAGGGGAAGGCGAGGCAAATGACCCACCTTCTTGAGCCGCTCGGCGAAGCGGAGGGTGCTCAGCGTCTCCGGCTCGCTGGCCTCGATGGGGCTGACGTTGCAGCACACCACGGTGTACGCGGTGCCCCCGAGAGAATCCTGCGGAGGTGGACGACAGAGGAGGAGAAGAGGCGTTTCAGTGATTTTAGGATTTTGTTACACAGTTAGCGCCCGCACTCAAGACTTTAGGAGTCAAGAAATCCATGCTCCAAACGTGGAAACTTTAATAACTTGGCCATAGGAACAAGTACTCAGTCAAGAAGCCTACACTGAAACCTATATCGTAGCTGTTGGGGTACCTCATAGAAAAAGAAAGATACGAGACTCGGCGCTTTTGAGTGGGTGCTAACGGTAGTGCAGTTGTCGTGTGTGTGTATTTCCATCGACCGCGCTAACTAATTCGCTGGCCAATGAAAAGACGCCAGTCTCGGTGCGGTTGAATACACAAAATGCTTCCAAAGGCCATGATCTGTCTGGGAACCCATGGGGGGGCATCATTGAGGAGCCTATGCTACTTTCCGGATGAAACAGATACCGTAGCTATAACAGAACAAATAACTTTAGTGTGTGTGCGTGTACCCATGTTCTGAAGCAAATGAGGCGGGGAGGGGCCAGGTCTTGTTTGATCTATGTTGCTGCCTGTAGCAGGAATCTTGGCCCTTTACATTGAACATTTTGTTTCGCAAAAACGAAGGAGTTTACCCCTCGGGGTGAGGGCGCTATTCTGTACAGGTAACTATTCCACAGACTTTGCCTCGGACATCTATTCTCATAAAGGGGAGAGAGACACACAAAAATAGACGCTTGAAAGACGTCGCCGCGCGGAGATACCGCACCTGGAGCAACCTCGTAAGCTTGCTGTCTCTGTACGGCACGTGCGCGGTACCCCCCGATGAAGTGAGCGCCTTGATCACGTTTCCTAGAGCACTGAGGCTCTTGTTGATCTGAGCGCCTTCCTGCTCACACACGTTTGCACACACAGTGGAAGAGAAGGAGCGGTTATGGGGGAAATGAGGAAACTATATACAGGTAAGCGGCCGGACAAGGCGTGCCTGGTGGTGCTTGGGTGATGCTCGTCGGGCTTCGGCCGTGCACCACAACAGGTCCTATCGGTGGTCTGAAGCGGAACCAGGTGTGCTCGCATGTTGCTTCTGTAGGTACGCAAAGAGGCGCCGATACAAAAGGTCCTCGTTAGACGAGAAACGACCGATTCCTACGAAGCTAACACGCCCCTCAGATTTCGAGGCGGGGGGGGGGG